TTCTTTTGGTGGTGTTTAATCCCCACTGGGGTTTTTATTTTTTGCTAAATTAACAAAAAAAGACTGAAAATTGTGAAAAAAAAAAACTCAGTTTTTCTTTGTTTCTGTTATAAAAGTTTGCAAATAAATAATTTTTCTTCATAAATTTAGGCTAAGATGTATTCTGCTACATGTCTTTGGTGAAAATAACCCAAATTAGTATTTATTATTTAGTTTGTAGGAAAGTTATAGAGTTCACAAACTATGGGATATATCTGAATATTGATCAGTCCTGAAGTACTGACAGCCAATCTAATTTCTTGAGGTCCAAGAATGTCAGAACATTACAGATATCCCCCAAATGACCCCTTTTTGCAAAGTAGACAGTCTGATGCATTTCATAAGAGGCATGGCGAGTTTTTTGAAGTTGTAATATTTTTGTCATAATTTTTCAGAAAATGAAGAAATTAATGATTTTCACTATTTTTTTTTATATACTGTCACCAGTGCAGTACAGCATCATCATATAACTGGCATGGTGGTGATCAGGGTCACTGACTGGTGACAGTACGAAAAAAAAAATTATATTTTTTTTTATAGTTTTTAAAATTTTTTCTCTTTTTTTAAGATTCATAGTAACATTGTACTACTTTCGGGAAGTGATCAGTATTTTTTTTTTTTTACACAATTTCTTTATAGAAAACAATTTATTTGCTATAAGCAAGCATTTATCTGAATGAAATCGATTCATTCAGGGTTTCTATTTTGTGATTAGCTGTGATTTGGCCACGGCTAATCACATGACACAGCTGGGCTGTGATTGGCCCAGCTAGTGCATGTGATCGCTGTGACCATTCACAGCTAGACACACTTGTATACAATGGATGGCATGAAAGGAAGCCATCCATTGTATACAACTGTCATGTGACCTACTGTGATTGGTCACAGCAGGTCACATGGTACTGGCAACAGGGCCAGTACATAGATCTGTCATCGGCCATGTCCGAGGTACACGGCCAATGACAGATCGCGCCGTAGCGTGGCCCTGCGGGCAAAATGTATGGCTTCAAATCGCACTGTACACAATTCGCATGTGATTTGCACAGGAATGCGGCGTGATTCCTGTGCAAATCATATGCGATAAAGTGCACTGCATATGTGTGAACCCAGGCTTAGTCTCCATCGCAGCTTGTCTGACAAAATGGCAACATAGAACAACTGGAAAACAGGAACAGAGCATTGTCACTAGAGATGAGCGAATCGAACATGGCGAAGTGGAATTCGTTTCGAAGTTCAGGAAAAATTCGATTCGCGACGAATCCGAAAATTAGCAAACTTCGGATGCACGAATCGAATTTTCCCAAAAATGGCGGCGACATGTGTGGCGACGGAGCGGGGGGATCTCTGGGAAGGCGCGCAGACAAGGCGCGCTGACCCATAATGCATTCATTCATGACATGTGATCGCATTAGCCAATCAGCAGCCAGCCAGCCAGCACTGTGTAATGGTGTAGAGCTATAAATTGCGGCCATCTTACAATTCTCCATTAGCCTCCGGTCATTCAAGAGAGACAGACCTGTCTGTATTAGGGACAGAGTTAGGGCCAGAGAGACTTTAGGGCCACAGAATCGTTACTTAGGGACACAGAATCGTTACTTAGGGACACAGAATCGTTACTCAGGGACACAGAATCGTTACTTAGGGACACAGAATCGTTACTTAGGGACACAGAATCGTTACTCAGGGACACAGAATTGTTACTCAGGGACACAGAATTGTTACTCAGGGACAGACACAGAATTGTTACTGAGGGACACAGAATTGTTACTCAGGGACACAGAATTTTTACTCAGGGACACAGAATTGTTACTCAGGGACAGACACAGAATTGTTACTCAGGGACACAGAATTGTTACTCAGGGACACAGAATCGTTACTCAGGGACACAGAATTGTTACTCAGGGACACAGAATTGTTACTCAGGGACACAGAATCGTTACTCAGGGACACAGAGGGACACAGAATTTACTCAGGGACACAGAATTGTTACTCAGGGACACAGACACAGAATTGTTACTCAGGGACACAGAATTGTGTTACTCAGGGACACAGACACAGAATTGTTACTCAGGGACACAGAATTGTTACTCAGGGACACAGAATTGTTACTGAGGGACACAGAATTGTTACTCAGGGACACAGAATTGTTACTCAGGGACACAGAATTGTTACTCAGGGACACAGAATTGTTACTCAGGGACACAGAATTGTTACTCAGGGACACAGAATTGTTACTCAGGGACACAGAATTGTTACTCAGGGACACAGAATTGTTACTCAGGGACACAGAATTGTTACTCAGGGACACAGAATTGTTACTCAGGGACACAGAATCGTTACTCAGGGACACAGAATCGTTACTCAGGGACACAGAATTGTTACTCAGGGACACAGAATTGTTACTCAGGGACACAGAATTGTTACTCAGGGACACAGAATTTTACTCAGGGACACAGAATTGTTACTCAGGGACACAGAATCGTTACTCAGGGACACAGAATTGTTACTCAGGGACACAGAATTGTTACTCAGGGACACAGAATTGTTACTCAGGGACACAGAATTGTTACTGAGGGACACAGAATTGTTACTCAGGGACACAGAATTGTTACTCAGGGACACAGAATTGTTACTCAGGGACACAGAATTGTTACTCAGGGACACACAGAATTGTTACTCAGGGACACAGAATGTTACTCAGGGACACAGAATTGTTACTCAGGGACACAGAATTGTTACTGAGGGACACAGAATCGTTACTCAGGGACACAGAATTGTTACTCAGGGACACAGAATTGTTACTCAGGGACACAGAATTGTTACTCAGGGACACAGAATCGTTACTCAGAGGGACACAGAATTGTTACTCAGGGACACAGAATTGTTACTCAGGGACACAGAATTGTTACTCAGGGGACACAGAATCGTTACTGAGGGACACAGAATCGTTACTCAGGGACACAGAATTGTTACTCAGGGACACAGAATTGTTACTCAGGGACACAGAATCGTTACTGAGGGACACAGAATCGTTACTCAGGGACACAGAATTGTTACTCAGGGACACAGAATTGTTACTCAGGGACACAGAATTGTTACTCAGGGACACAGAATCGTTACTGAGGGACACAGAATTGTTACTCAGGGACACAGAATTGTTACTCAGGGGACACAGAACAGAATTGTTACTCAGGGACACAGAATTGTTACTCAGGGACACAGAATTGTTACTCAGGGACACAGAATTGTTACTCAGGGACACAGAATTGTTACTCAGGGACACAGAATTGTTACTCAGGGACACAGAATTGTTACTCAGGGACACAGAATTGTTACTCAGGGAGGACACAGAATTGTTACTCAGGGACACAGAATCGTTACTCAGGGACACAGAATCGTTACTGAGGGACACAGAATTGTTACTCAGGGACACAGAATTGTTACTCAGGGACACAGAATCGTTACTGAGGGACACAGAATCGTTACTCAGGGACACAGAATTGTTACTCAGGGACACAGAATTGTTACTCAGGGACAGACACAGAATTGTTACTCAGGGACACAGAATTGTTACTCAGGGACACAGAATTGTTACTCAGGGACACAGAATCGTTACTCAGGGACACAGAATCGTTACTCAGGGGACACAGAATTGTGTTACTCAGGGACACAGAATTGTTACTCAGGGACACAGAATTGTTACTCAGGGACACAGAATCGTTACTGAGGGACACAGAATCGTTACTCAGGGACACAGAATTGTTACTCAGGGACACAGAATTGTTACTCAGGGTTACTCAGGGACACAGAATTGTTACTCAGGGACACAGAATTGTTACTCAGGGAACAGAATTGTTACTCAGGGACACAGAATTGTTACTCAGGGACACAGAAGAATTGTTACTCAGGGACACAGAATCACTCAGGGACACAGAATCGTTACTCAGGGACACAGAATCGTTACTCAGGGACACAGAATTGTTACTCAGGGACACAGAATCGTTACTCAGGGACACAGAATCGTTACTCAGGGACACAGAATCGTTACTCAGGGACACAGAATCTCCATTGAAGGGAAAGAGTATGTCAGGACAACACACGCAGAGGAGTGGCAGGGAGGCAATGTTTCAGGAGCGAGCAGACGTGGCAGCAGAGGAAGGGGTCGAGGCAGCACTAGTCGCAGCCAGAGGCCAGTGCTCCCGGTGTCATCCAGCGGTCGTGTCTCCACCCGACAACCCTGCCGTCATCGATTGGTTGGCTCGGTCGTCTTCCTCTTCCCAGGTCACCTCTGACTCAGGGACCTACAGCCAATGGTCGGTGGGTACGTCAGACACAACCGTTAGTTGGCATGGCCCGGGAGCAAGCCCACTGAAATCACGTGTCCATCGCTCTACCCCCCCTGTCCTTTGGTGTTCCCTCACCAAGCGAAGTATCGCATGCTGTGGGCCAGCCCCACACTGTACAGTGAGGAAGAGCTAACAGAGGGCGGTCAGGAACGGGGGGAGACATCCGCCTCTTCAGCAGCCAGGCGAAGAAGTACTGGCGAGGAGAGTGGCTCGGTAGCCGGTCTAGAGACAGGTCTGTCTCCTGACCCACACGCAGCCGAGGGGGCTAGTAGTGAGGCGGAGACCCTAATTGATGATGATGAGGCTGATCGCACTTGGCAGCCTCGTCGTCATCTGCCAGGCCCGTAATCTGCCATGGGCCCCCGTACCGACTCCTCATGCTGCTGCCCAGGCCCGTAATCTGTCCCATGGGCCCCTGTACCGCCTCCTCATGCTGCTGCCAGGTCCAGAGTGTGTCATGGGTCCCTGTACGGCCTCCCATTGCTGCTGTCTCCATCGCCACACTCTGCCATGTGCCACTTTCAGGTCCCTCACACTGCTGGTGGGTTCCATTTTGTCATAGGGTGCTGGCAGATTACGGGCCCCCCATTGCTGCTGCCAGGGCCGTAATCTGTCATGGGCCCCTGTACCGCCTCCTCATGCTGCTGCCAGGTCCAGAGTGTGTCATGGGTCCCTGTACGGCCTCCCATTGCTGCTGTCTCCATCGCCACACTCTGCCATGTGCCACTTTCAGGTCTCCTCACACTGCTGGTGGGTTCCATTTTGTCATAGGGTGCTGGCAGATTACGGGCCTCCCATTGCTGCTGCCAGGCCCGTAATCTGCCATGGGCCCCCGTACCGACTCCTCATGCTGCTGCCAGGCCCGTAATCTGTCATGGGCCCCTGTACCGCCTCCTCATGCTGCTGCCAGGTCCAGAGTGTGTCATGGGTCCCTGTACGGCCTCCCATTGCTGCTGTCTCCATCGCCCAATCTGCCATGGGCCCCCGTACCGACTCCTCATGCTGCTGCCAGGCACCGTAATCTGTCATGGTCCCCCTGTACCGCCTCCTCATGCTGCTGCCAGGTCCAGAGTGTGTCATGGGTCCCTGTACGGCCTCCCATTGCTGCTGCCAGGCCCGTAATCTGCCATGGGCCCCCGTTCCGACTCCTCATGCTGCTGCCAGGCCCGTAATCTGTCATGGGCCCCTGTACCGCCTCCTCATGCTGCTGCCAGGTCCAGAGTGTGTCATGGGTCCCTGTACGGCCTCCCATTGCTGCTGTCTCCATCGCCACACTCTGCCATGTGCCACTTTCAGGTCTCCTCACACTGCTGGTGGGTTCCATTTTGTCATAGGGTGCTGGCAGATTACGGGCCTCCCATTGCTGCTGCCAGGCCCGTAATCTGCCATGGGCCCCCGTACCGACTCCTCATGCTGCTGCCAGGCCCGTAATCTGTCATGGGCCCCTGTACCGCCTCCTCATGCTGCTGCCAGGTCCAGAGTGTGTCATGGGTCCCTGTACGGCCTCCCATTGCTGCTGTCTCCATCGCCACACTCTGCCAGTGCCACTTTCAGGTCTCCTCACACTGCTGGTGGGTTCCATTTTGTCATAGGGTGCTGTATGGGCCCCTGTACCGTACCGACTCCTCATGCTGCTGCCAGGCCCGTAATCTGTCATGGGCCCCTGTACCGCCTCCTCATGCTGCTGCCAGGTCCAGAGTGTGTCATGGGTCCCTGTACGGCCTCCCATTGCTGCTGTCTCCATCGCCACACTCTGCCATGTGCCACTTTCAGGTCTCCTCACACTGCTGGTGGGTTCCATTTTGTCATAGGGTGCTGGCAGATTACGGGCCTCCCATTGCTGCTGCCAGGCCCGTAATCTGCCATGGGCCCCCGTACCGACTCCTCATGCTGCTGCCAGGCCCGTAATCTGTCATGGGCCCCTGTACCCGCCCGCCTCCTCATGCTGCTGCCAGGTCCAGAGTGTGTCATGGGTCCCTGTACGGCCTCCCATTGCTGCTGTCTCCATTGCCACACTCTGCCATGTGCCACTTTCAGGTCTCCTCACACTGCTGGTGGGTTCCATTTTTTCATAGGGTGCTGTATGGCCTCCCATTTGCTGCTGCCTCCACTGCCACACTGTGGCTCCACACTCTGGTTTTGGCCCGTGACTGCCCAAATGAGTGAAGTGTGCGGTGATTCTAAGATCGACGGCACTCATCTGCATGTCATACTGACTGACAGTATTATTTCTCTTCCCCAGCAGACTCCAAGGGCATTTAAATTAAAGGTACAGTGTTCTGCACTAATATAAAGGCTCTCTGAAGCCTAGAAACACCCTTTTTATAAGTTAAATTTGCAGCGAATATATTCGACTCGAATCAAATTTATTCCGCGAATTCGCCGAATCAGCCGAATCGAATTTTTGAATAATTCGCTCATCTCTAATTGTCACCCTAGAACAGGAAGACCCTGAACAAGGACCGTAATGGTAGAATCACCAGGTATTATTTTAATGGAAGCTGCCATTTTAATATTATTAAAAATTACTTTTGAAATCTTATTAGTGCTTGTTAAAGCTTGTATGAGACATTAGTGCTAGGCTGTACACATATTTTAAAGTTTATTTTTTTAAATATAGAAAAATAAGCCTTGTCATAATGGCAAATTAACTGAGAGGCTTGCTTCACTGGTTTCCCAGAAAACATTTCTCCCTGCCTACACTTTGAAACTCTGCTGAATACTCTGTATAGTAACAGATTGAAAATATGAAGAAAAATAGAAAAAACTTTTAGTGGACAATTATGTCCCTCTCATTAATGCGTACTTGTTTGATGTATACAGTCTTTCAGTCATTTAGTTCTGTGAGCATTAACTTGAAATGAGCAGGGATTTCACAACTCTAAATGTGTTATTATCTTGCTAAAATTAGATTCCTGCTTAAGTGTTAAAATTAACTTTCATAATGATACTTCAAAGTTTTATTACTTTGAGCAGAATTGCATTTTCACATGTACCTATACTGAGAGTGGTGCTGGAAGCACTGTACATTGATATGGTTCTCATCTACTGTATATCTTAAAAAATCCTTCTATTAGAATAAAGACAACCAACTAGAACCTCTTCTGACATATAGAAAGATTATGTCATGATTATGGGTGGTGGTGGAATTGAGGTTACCCAGCAGGATTGAGGGCGTTACACCTTGTGATAATCTGACGACTTGAACAGCCTTCTACTAAAGAGGCTGCTTCTTCAAACACTTAGGATACAGAGTTGGTCTGCCTTTCTTTAGTGATTGATAGGTGTCCCTTGCTGGAACTCAATGGCTTAAATACAGGGGGGCAAGGGGAGGAAATTGCCCTGGTGACTGGGCCTTTGGTGTTCTGCCACTGTGTAGTGCCCCAAGCAATGTTGCAAACAGTCCATTACTGTAGGAGCCTCAGTCTGTAAATGTAGGGACTGCTGGCTGTAGCTGAGCTGGAGTGCCTATGACACTCTCACAGACACAGCCCAGTGAGCACACTGCCCCTTCCCCTCATGGACAGGAGAGGAATACAGCCTGCTCCTCTTCCTCCTCGCCCCTCTTCCTCCTGTGTCTGCCTGGCCCATCCACACTCCTATCCCCTATCTGACAGAAAGGAGATGTGTGGGTGGGAAATATGAATAATGCCACTGCCTGAGCCATTGGATAACAGCCTCAGCCCTGGGGTGAACACTGAGCATTGCAGCACACTATGATCACTGACCCATTCCCATCTCTCTCCCTTCTCTCCCCCATCTGTCTCCCTCCATCTCTGTTCATCCAAGAGCTTCACAAACTTGCTCACTTCCAGTTAGCATTTAGGCAACCCATACATTGATCACTTTTTTTGTTCATTCAACCATTGGGTTGAATGAAAAAAAAAAATATATGATCCAATTCTCCCATCTACACAATCAAGGTGAATGGGGGAATCCCCCCACTGAGACAGTGACAGAACTACCAGGGTCAAACTTGGAACTGAGTCCTGGAATTCTGCTACTGTGGGAGTTTCCAGCCTCCTCTTGCAGTCCTGCCCCTGCTATTGACAGCATCGGTCTGGCATCTCTGTCTCCATGGCACTAGTGCCAGTGCATTAGGACCCAGTGCAGGTTACATTATGGGGCTGATGGGCTCATGAACAGGAGGGGTGGCACTATTGGTTTCAGACAGCTAAGCCCCCCAACGGTTGCCTAGCAGCAGTGATGCTGCATAGCCTTCTCCTCTATTATGTCTTCAGTTTCAGACCATCTCCTGTATCATGTCTGCAGTCTCCGACCATCTCCTGTATCATGTCTGCAGTCTCCGACCATCTCCTGTAGTATGTCCGCAGTCTCTGACCATCTCCTGTAGTATGTCTGCAGTCTCTGACCATCTCCTTTAGCATGTCTGCAGTTTTTGACCATCTCCTGTAGTATGTCTGAAGTCTCTGACCATCTCCTGTATCATGTCTGCAGTCTCCGACCATCTCCTGTAGTATGTCTGCGGTCTCTGACCATCTCCTTTAGTATGTCTGCAGTTTTTGACCATCTCCTGTAGTATGTCTGAAATCTCTATCCATCTTCTGTATCATGTCTGCAGTCTCTGACCATCTCCTGTAGTATGTCTGCAGTTTCTGACCATCTCCGGTATCACGTCTGCAGTCTCCGACCATCTCCGGTATCACGTCTGCAGTCTCCGACCATCTCCGGTATCACGTCTGCAGTCTCCGACCATCTCCTGTAGTATGTCTGCAGTCTCTGACTATCTCCTTTAGTATGTCTGCAGTTTTTGACCATCTCCTGTAGTATGTCTGAAATCTCTGACCATCTTCTGTATCATGTCTGCAGTCTCTGACCATCTCCTGTAGTATGTCTGCAGTCTCTGACCATCTCCTGTAGTATGTCTGCAGTCTCTGACCATCTCCGGTATCACGTCTGCAGTCTCCGACCATCTCCTGTAGTATGTGTGCAGTCTCTGACCATCTCCGGTATCACGTCTGCAGTCTCCGACCATCTCCTGTAGTATGTCTGCAGTCTCTGACCATCTCCGGTATCACGTCTGCAGTCTCTGACCATTCATGGATTTTGAACCGGGGCCCTGAGGTTCCCAGTTACGCCTCTGACTAGCATGTGCTTTTTCTTAGTAGAAGCCATTTTCAATGTTAACATCCCAGGCCACATCTAATCTATGCACAAAATCTACTTGATAATAGTCTAATTATAATATTCATCAGTCTTCATTAGTGACATATTTAACATAGGGGATTATTTACACAGCCCTGGTGTTTATAGTTTAAAGCAATTTCAGCAAAGAAAAGCTTTTGAGAGTTTTCCTCTTTTGATCAGGTCTGAAGCAATACCTGAAGAAGAAAGGAAAACTCTTGAAAGCTTATCTTTTAAATGTTAATAGGTTATTAAGTGTTATTAAGTTATTTTTAAGTGTTAGTACAATAAAAAGGTATTATTGCACACCGCACTACTCTGGTATTTTTTAGTCTTATTTATATATACTGATTTCATTTTTTCAGTGGTAGTATTTAGTGGTGAAAATTATTAGTGCTTCCTATCCAGTTTTGATTGTGGTATCTTATGTGCCCCCCCATATATTGTTCCTAGAGTCGCCACTGCTGGAATTCATTCAAACGTTTCCACCTGAGATACCACAAGCCAGAAAAAACAAAAAATGTTGTAGAGGAATTATATTTTCTTCCTCTCTCCCTGTAGAGGCTTACATTTCTGGTTAGATTATATGGTTAGTGATTTCTGGTTAGTTCATATGCATGCACCCAAATGATATAAAAAGTGTTTTTCTTTTTTCTTATCCATTTTAAAGGCAAATTGACTAAATCTTTCAACGTAATCAAAAAGTTGCTATCATTGGGACAGAAAGTGAAAGCAAATTCAAAATTTCAGAGCTGTCACCATACCAGAGGTGAACGTTAATCATTTAATGGGAACAAATATTCCAGTATCAAATGTCTAAGACTGAAACTTCAATCGGTTTGGTGGGATTTCTTTCATTGTGTCTATGTGTCTCTGGTATGTTGCTGCTTAACATCCGCCCAAAACTGAAAACCGACTGATTTCTTTCACTGTGTCTATGTGTCTTTGCTATGCTGCTGCTTCACATCCACCAAAAACTGAAAACGGATTTCTTTCATAGTTTCTATGTGTCTTTGGT